TTCCACTCAGAACAGGCCTCGCCATGGTCGACCAAAGAAGTTGAGTGCACATGCCCAGTGTCATATCCAGAGGTTGTCTTTGGGAAATAGACGTATGAGTGCTGCCAGCATTGCTGCAGAAGTTGAAGGGGGGGTTGGGGGTGTCAGCCTGTCAGTGCTCAGACCATATGCCGCACACTGCATCAAATTGATCTGCATGGCTGTCGTCCCAGAAGGAAGCCTCTTCTAAAGATAATGCACAAGAAAGCTGCAAACAGTTTGCTGAAGACAAGCAGACTAAGGACAGGGATTACTGGAACCATGTCCTGTGGTCTGATGAGACCAAGATGAACTTATTTGGTTCAGATGGTGTCAACCAGATGAGGAGTACAAAGACAAGTGTGTCTTGCCTACAGTCAGGCATGGTGATGGGAGTGTCATGGTCTGGGGCTGCATGAGTTCTGCCGGCACTGGGGAGCTACAGTTCATTGAGGGAACCATGAATGCCAACATGTACTGTGACATACTGAAGCAGAGTATGATCCCCTCCCTTCGGAGACTGGGCCGAAGGACAGTATTCCAACATAACGACCCCAAACACACTTCCAAAACGACCACTGCCTTGCTAAAGAAGCTGAGGGTAAATGTGATGGACTGGCCAAGCATGTCTCCAGACCTAAACCCTATTGAGCATCTGTGGGGCATCCTCAAACGGAAGGTGGAGGAGCACAAGGTCTCCAACATCCACCAGCTCTGTGATTTCATCATGGAGGAGTGGAAGAGGACTCTAGTGACAACTATGAAGCTCTGGTGAACTCCATGCCCTAGAGGGTTAAGGCAGTGCTGGAAAATAATGGTGGCCACACAAAATATTGACACTGTGGGCCCAATTTGGACATTTTCACTTAGGGGTGTACTCACTTTTGTTGCCAGCGGTTTAGACATTAATGGATGTGTTGAGTTATTTTGAGGGGACAGAAAATTTACACTGTTATACAAGCTGTACACTCACTACTTTACATTGTAGCATTATGTAATTTCTTCAGTGTTGTCACATGAAAAGATATAATAAAATATTTACAAAAATGTGAGGGGTGTACTCATGTGTGTACACACACACACACACACACACACACACACACACGCACACACACGTTTGTAGACGCTATTAAAAAAAAAAAAAAAAAAAAAAAAAAAAAAAAAAACAGTGGAGATCAAATACCACCAAAAGAAAGCTCTATTTGTGTGAAAAAAAGGACAAATTAAAATTAGGTACAGTGTTGCATGAACAGAAACCCCCAATGGCTAAACATCCTGTCCTGGGAGTGGTACACCAGCTCATGCTGTACCCCCTGCACACATACAACAGGGGGGGGGGGGGGGGTGCATCCAAATGCAACCTACAAAAAACACACAAGAAAGAAAGGATACAGCACCTCAATGGCTAACGAAGTGTTGCATGACCACACAATTAACATTTGCAATACCACAATTCTGAATAGCAAAAAAATGGTGGCCTGGTCAGGGGGCGGGGGGGGGGGGTGGGGGGTGGGGTGGGGGGGGGGGGGGGGGGGGGGGGGGGGGGGGGGGGGAAACCAGTCGGAGCTGAAGTGGTTAAAAATAAAAAAAAAAAAAAAAAAAAAAAAAAAAAAGGAAGGGTACACGCATTTCTTACAAATAAATATTTATTCCACAATCCTAATTTATCAATATAAAAACATCTTGTTTCATATTTTACACAATGCATTTTAAAAAATCTAGAACAATCTGGAGTTCTACAGTAACTGCAGCAGGCTGGATTAATCTCATCAAACTAAATAAGAAATACATTTATACAGAAATCATGCCCTGCTATAGCAGAGATCACCAAGGCAATTTAAAATAATTACACTAAAAATGCCATTTTTCACTATCCTAATATTCCAGCACTCAGTAAAACATTAGCAACTGGAACATGAGGCGGCAAGGTTCATATTTCATAATCCAAGGGCTAGGAGGCAATTTAAAGGATGCCTGTTGCCAGGCTGCCATTGCTGGTCTTCTAAAAGTATTAAATTGCCTGGCTGGTGCCAGTTTCAATAGTTTAAGTCACTGACCTAAAAGCAGCAAAAAAAATTTAAGAACAGCTGATCTGCATTGCTGTTCCAGATCAAAGTGATTGGAACAGTGCTGCTTTCTTTCAAGTTCTGTTCCAGATCAATGCCTCAGAAATCACCAAAGCCACTGGATCAGTATGCCAGCCACACAACTATTATCCCCAGAAAAGGTAAACAATGGCAGCTTTTCTCAGTACAGGTTTCCTTTAAAAATAACCTAAAAGGAGAGCCTATAGACAAATCACTTTTGAAAATTATGAACAAGCTATGTGTAAAACATTCATTTATTAGCAATTCCCTGTAAAAATTTAAAACTTTGAAGTTTCAAAAATTAGTTGTCCCTCCTTGCTGCCAAGCTACTGCCACTGACAGGTTGGTTGGTATAATTTATTACCTAAAACTAAGGGTCTGTTATCTCCAACCACCACATTCAGACAGTTGGAAGGTCTGAATTGGATTGGTCTCCACTGAAAAGAAAAAAATTTATTTAGCCTTTTTAGGTCATGGAAATCATCCATGTCCTAGAATTTACCATGAAAGCTGACGTTTAGGCAAGGACCATTTTGCATAGCTACATTGTTCCATCTTGTACCAATATAAAGTATGCAAGTTCTTTATAGTAGCATTGCCTACTACAGGGATTTCCAGATTCCACATGATTGGCCAGGTATGGGACATGCCAAACTACCTATGCAAAAATAGTACATTCCTTAATTTCAGCTTTAAATCAGTCATAATTATAATTCTGGAGAGATGAGGAGGAAATTCATTGGCAGATATTCATAATACTGCTACAAGAGAAAAGAATTTTCTATGCAGGCTGCCTCCATTGTTCCAACAAAATGATCAGCCATTTTAAAGGCATCTACAATTTGAAATTATTCTCATGGGAGGGAACAAAAGAAAGGCAGTGTGTCAAAAACAATCTCATTAAATTTGCACTCAAGAGTATAAAAACCCACCTCTTCATGCAGGTATATTTTTCTAGTGATTTTCCAATACCTAATGGCTTGCCATGCTGAGAGCTCAACAACAGAAGAGACGCGCATGCACACAGACTTTAACCGGCTATATCAAGGAGGTATTTGCTGCTATATTACAGAAACATGCTTTATAGGCAATGTAAAACTAGGGAAAATACACAGCACTGAATGATTACATCTTTCCATACAGAAAGCTGAATGGCTCCCATGACCAGTAAAATTACTTCATTAGCCTTGTGGGTGCAGCATCTCTCCCATCCCCACTATTAGCCCTGGTGCGATTTCAGGTGCGACGTGATTTACAAATCACATCTGAAGTTGTATGTAATGTATTTCTATGGCACTGTCTTAATCAGTGTGATTTGAAGTAGCGCAATTCCAAAAATAGTTCCTGCACTACTTTTTTCTGATTTCATTGCGACATGAAGTTGCAAGCCACAGTGAAATCGGAGGTCAAATCTCACTGATCTGAAGCTTCAAGTACGTAGCATGATTTCAAAGTTGCATTCAGTGTGAACCAGAGCCAAGCCTAGTCCAGTGGCCATGCAGTGCCAACAAAACTTGTTTACAGGTGCTGTCTAATGACAAATAGATGTATTAGAAAATATGAAGACTCCAGGAGAATATGGAGAAAAACCATGCTGGTTTTATGGGTATTAACAAGTGCTATCCGCAGCTCTAGCCATGATCTATGGACCTTTTTCTCCTCCCTTAAGTTCTAAAAGCAGAGGATAGCTCCCTAAAAATAAAATTTGGACTTAAGCAAACTTATAGTCCTAAAAATTGGAAAAAACTAACCTTACAAAAGTGACCTCAGGAGATCACCTGAAGAACCTGAACTTCCTCTTCAAAAATTCTACCTTAGCACTTTGGAGCACAGGGATCCTATCCATCCTTTGCTGCTTTTGAAGGTACCTGAGTGATCTATTTAAAAGCCTGAGCACTAGCATGTGATATGCAGCAAGTAAGGCGTTCATAAATTGGAGCCCTTTTTCAGAAGCCAGCATAATCTGCCAGTGTCTGCTGTTGTCATAAGGTTAGTTTAGCAAGCTTTTCATCATTCTAAGTTTGCCTAAAAAAAGAATAATTTTAAGATAAACACATAGGCTTCAGTTACTGAGAAATGATAGTTGACTGGTTGGCATATGGACCTATATTCTTCAGGACGTAACCTCTAACCCAGAGCAAGTATGTAGGTATAAGACATCAGACTGCACCCTGGCTTTTGAAATTGGAGGTTAATGGCTAAGAAAATATTACAGTGAACAGATCAGCATAAATACCAGGCAACTAGCATTTTCAAAAGATGATGTGCAACAGCAGCCCCTTTCAAGTTTATGTTATGCAAAGGAGCACAAGAGCAACAATTGTTCTATACAGCGTATCACATTCAATCTTCCATCTTTTTACTGCAGCCATGACAAAGAAACCTGCTCTTTGGTTGCTGTGGGTTACTTCAATATATAGAAATGCTTGGTTGTCTCAAAAAGCCTAACTGTATACTTTCTTCTATGCTGCCCACAACTTATTGTTAACCAGAAAAATACATTTAGAGCAATTTGTCTAAAATTTCCCATTAAATACACATATACAAATTTTCCATTTGCCCTTGACTTTTACAATGGAACTTACTTATAATCCTTCAGTTGCAGCTAAAATGATATCAAAGTGATTATTTGGAAAATCAGACTACCAAACAAGACATCTGAAACAATGGTCATCTTCAGGACCACTTGAAGACAAACATCCTTGTGTATAGAACAAATTGCTTCATTCAGCTGCATGCTTCGTAAGCACAGTAACTATCAATATAAAAATACTATGACCAAGGCTGTCGGCATCTAAGTGTTAAATGCGCAACACTATAGGAAAAAAAAGGGGCTGGCTAAAAGCAAATCAGTTCACAAAAGCAATGGGTAAAATCCCTTCATCCATATGCAGGTCAGTTCTTAAGCCAAGGATGTGCTTCAATGGAAGACCTGCTCCGATCTCCATAGTCATACAAGAGTTCTTCTCCTGCTTTTATGTCCCTTGATGCAATCAGTATGAGATGAGGAATGTTGTTGATATCGTGTAGTTTGGTGTGGCAATTACCGCTCTTGCTGTGATTTATAAGCCTTCCTAAACGATTTGTTTCTTTTGTTGCATCAACACTGAAAACAGACCAAGACATGTATGCAGTGAACAATTTGAGAGCAAAAAAAAAAAAACACAAAACCCCACTCGAGGCTAAATATGAGTCGCCTCCCACCTAAGCTGCCCTGTTAGGAGTTTGTACTTTCCTTAGCCGGTGAAGCCAGATATATCCCCACCTAAGACGAGAGAGAAGAGAAGGAGAAGAGAGAAGAGAAGGAGAAGAGAGAAGAGAAGGAGAAGAGAGAAGAGAAGGAGAAGAGAAGGAGAAGAGAGAAGAGAAGAGAGAAGAGAAGGAGAAGGAGAAGAGAGAAGAAGGAGAGTCCCCTCCACTGACATGTAGTCTTCAAGGTCCTGAGAGGACTTCTGCTGCTGGACATCTAATACAAGTGTCGACATCACACTAGGCAGTGACATGGACACCCGAAGAAGGAGCCATCCAAGAAAACAGGTTCAGTGTCACATAACTGGCTTCAGGCACGCAAAAAATGCTTTTTTTTTTTTTTTTTTTTTTTTTTTTATAAACTATAGCAATTTCTCACAGGGGGTGAGAGGAAGTTAGGGGAGAGGGGTTTTAAAACATAATTCCACATTTAATGTCCCTTTAAATAATTTTTTTTGGCTAAGTTGCACTAAAAAGGTGAGCTTTCTGGATGTGCTTTATGAACTATATGTTGCCTCAGCTACATACACTTTACAGGTGAAACGCAAAAAATTAGAATATTGTGCAAAAGTTCATTTATTTCAGTAATGCAACTTAAAAGGTGAAACTAATATATGAGATAGACTCATTACATGCAAAGCAAGATAGTTCAAGCCGTGATTTTTCATAATTGTGATAATTATGGCTTACAGCTCATGGAAACCCCAAATCCACAATCTCAGAAAATTAGAATATTGTGAAAAAGGTGCAATATTCTTGGCTCAAAGTGTCCCACTCTAATCAGCTAATTAAGCCACAACACCTGCAAAGGGTCTGGTTCAGTAGGAATCACAATCATAGGAAAGACTGCTGACCTGACTGTTGTGCAGAAAACCATAATTGACAACCTCCATAATGAGGGAAAGCTTCAAAAGGTAATTGCAAAAGAAGTTGGATGTTCCCAAAGTGCTGTATCAAAGCACATCAATAGAAAGTTATGTGGAAGGGAAAAGTGTGGAAGAAAAAGGTGCACAAGCAGCAGGGATGACCCCAGTCTGGAGAGGATTGTCAGGAAAAGGCCATTCAAAAGTGTTGGGACTTTCACAAGGAGTGGACTGAGGCTGGAGTCAGTGCATCAAGAGCCACCACACACAGACGGATCCTGGACATGGGCTTCAAATGTCATATTCCTCTTGTCAAGCCGCTCCTGAACAACAAACAACGTCAGAAGCGTCTTACCTGGGGTAAAGAAAAACAGACCTGGTCTGTTGCTCAGTGTTCCAAAGTCCTCTTTTCTGATGAGAGCAACTTTTGCATCTCATTTGGAAACCAAGGACCCAGAGTATGGAGGAAGAATGGAGAGGCACACACTGCAAGATGCTTGAAGTCCAGTGTGAAATTTCCACAGTCTGTGTTGATTTGGGGAGCCATGTCATCTGCTGGTGCTGGTCCACTGTGCTTCATTAAGTCCAGGGTCAACGCAGCCTTCTACCAGGAGATTTTGGAGCACTTCATGCTTCCTTCCGCAGACGAGCTTTATGGGGATGCGGACTTCATTTTCCAGCAGGACTTGGCACCTGCCCACACTGCCAAAAGCACCAAAACCTGGTTCAAGGACCGTGGATTTACTGTGCTTGATTGGAAAGCAAACTCACCTGACCTGAACCCCGAATCTATGGAGCATTGCCATGAGAAAGATGAGAGACAAGAGACCGAACAATGCAGAAGAGCTGAAGGCCGCTATTGAAGCATCCTTGTCTTCCATAACACCTCAGCAGTGCCACAGGCTGATAGTTTCCATGCCACGCCGCATTGAGGCAGTAATTGCTGCAAAAGGGGCCCAAACCAAGTACTGAGTACATATGCATGCTTATTCTTTTCAGAGGCCCGATATTGTTCTATGTACAATCCTTGTTTTATTGATTGCATGTAATATTCTAATTTTCTGAGATTGTGGATTTGGGGTTTTCATGAGCTGCAAGCCATAATCATCACACTTATGACAAATCACGGCTTGAACTATCTTGCTTTGCATGTAATGAGTCTGTCATATATTAGTTTCACCTTTTAAGTTACATTACTGAAATAAATGAACTTTTGCACGATATTCTAATTTTTCGAGTTTCACCTGTACATTGCTGTGTTCCAGCAGTGGGACATGTAGAAAATAAAAGATGGGCCATTCACAAGCAGCTTTGTATTCTGTGAATGAATACAAAGCTTACTCATTGAAAAAAAAAAAAAAAAGATTTTATATGGGTACAGCATTGTAGGGCCGTGCAATTGTCATTCAAAATGCAACAGTGCTGAAGGCTGAAAATTGGCCTGGGCAGGAAGGGGATGAAAGTGCCCAGTATTGAAGTGATTAAGATTTCTATTAAGGTGGTGCATCAATTAATTTCTTCCAGCTCACTCCAATCCGATGATCAGCTCCATTCAAAGCTTCAAATTTTAGTATGCAAAGAGAAAAAAAAAAAAAACCACAGTAGTGTAATACCATACACACAATTGTATTTATTAAAATGAAAAAAAAAAGCTCAAACTCAGAAGGTTAAATGGCATATGTCAAAAGTCACTGGATCTTTACTGCCACCACTGTAGGTTTGAAACTACTTGACATTTTATGTTGAACATTTGCACAGATAACCACTGCATGACTAATGATTTTACTTCATGAGTTTTATGTGATTGGGTGTATTTACAGCGCTGTACAGTGGTGATTGATATTGGAATTCATTAAGTGATTTTTTTTGAGTGGTGTAATACTGGAGCTGCATTAGTTTGGGTTTATATAATATTGACTAAAGAAAGAAAAAAAAAAAAAAAGACGAAAGTAAAAGCTAGCAAAAATGGTTTGAGCTAAGTAGAGCTAAGGAAAAGCTGACTGCCCTCCCAAGACACTAGCAAAAAAAAAAAAAAAAAAAAAAAAAAAACTGAGGCTTGCTGGGTAGAGAAAGGATTATCCTTGGCTGGCCTATAGTATCTTTGTTTGCCAATGTCCATTCCTCCTGTAGGCAGCTGTATAACCCAACAGTATATGATTTCCTGTGTCTTTCAACTGATGAGAAGGAAAACATTATTTTTAAAGAAAGACAGAACTACATGAAAATAGTGCTACAAATATCTTGGGTACAGCTTTAAAGTGACCATCTGAGGATAAAAGGCAAACCTAACAGCAAAAGTTAATACATTCCAGTCCCTCAAACCAACAACTATACAAATAGCTATTTTCTCAACCTCATCACCTGATTCAGCACAGCCCCCAAATCTGGAAATGTGCCATATTTTCACAAAGCAAAAAGTGGAAAAAATGCTGACACACACTAATATACAAGTTTTTACACGAGTTTTTACTCACCAGTAGGTTTTATTTAGATACTGAAAGTAGTACATGTAGCAGCCAGTGGAGTCGTCCTGGGCATATGCTGCTTCTCGTTTCTTTGCATCTGTAATTTCTATAAGATCCCCATGGTATTCTACAACAAAGTCTCCTCGAAGAAAATTCCGAGTTGCAATCACACCTCGGCCTTTACCAGTAATGAAATCAATCTGAATTGAAAGACAAATCGCAAGCAGTCATTATTCCATCTAAAAGATAAATATGAGGCCCAGTGTAATTTAAAAATAAAAATTTCTACAATTATGTAAAGTATTAAGATGGATAAAATGCTGAAGTCTTCATGTGTTTCTTCAGGTTCCAGAATGTTGCAAGAACTCAGCAGCTTGGTTTTCCTATAGGTGAATACAGACTTCAAGCTTAAAAAAGATAAGTTCACTTTTTTCAGGTAAAAAAAAAAAAAAAAAAAAAAAAAGTGCCTTTATTTATTATTTTTTTTTTTTTTATTAGGAGCCTGTAAAGCATTGTACCCGCAATCAGCAGGTCGTGGGAGCAATGCAAGGCTCCTGCGGACTGTCAGTGTAAACTGTCTGCTAGTATAGGCAGGCAGTTATACAATGACAGGAACCATCAATAAACTACCTAGAGCACTCGCCAGCACTCTGGTAGTTCATTGCAAACTACAAGCCATTAGTTGCAAAGACTGACAGTAGATGTACTTTTCCCCATTCACAAAACTTTGAATGAATAATGTGGCGGGCAGAGCCCCATACAGTGCGGGGAGAAGATCCCCAGCTTGCGGTCACTAGAGGCAGTGGATCAGGGAGAGGCTACAGCAGTGTGAACATGTTCCACCCTAAATGGGTGGAACATGTAACATGTTCCCAAAAGGTGAGCTCATCCTTCAACCTCAGGCAGTAAGAAACTAATTTTAATATATTCCTCGGTTGACATAAAAATGCCCCAAATGCATTTGCAAACAGTTATTTTAAAAGTAGAAGTGACAAAATCATGGTGCTGCACATCTACAGGGCAGGGACAACCAGTCATACTGCACAAAAGGGGAGGGAAGAAAAAAAGAAAGCAGTGGCTGGTCTATATTAGAGGAAGTTCTGGCACAGAGGCAAAGTTTCACTCCGGGTTACTGCACAGGGCGAAACAAGTTTCAAGGAAAAATACACACTCCTCTTGTTTAGACAATACGTTCTTATCTTGGAGTTATTATTATTACATCGAGTTTATATAACGCCAAAGGGTTTGCTCAGCGCTGTACAATAGGGGGGACAATACATGGCACAGTACAACAATAACAAACAACGTACGAGGGGTAAGAGGGCCCTACTCTTTCGAGCTTACAATCTAGGAGGGAGGGAGTAGTGGTACAGTAGGAAGTGGCTGAGGGGAATGAAGTATTGGGAGGAATGAGGGAGAATGGCTGTTAGGTGAGGGTGGGGTAGGCTTCCCTGAAGAGATGAGTTTTGAGGGAGCGCCTGAATGTGAGGAGGGAAGGCGACAGTCTGATGGATTGGGGCAGTGAGTTCCAGAGGATGGGGGAGGACCTGGAGTAGTCTTGCAGTCGTGCATGGGAGGAGGAGACCAGGGAGCAGGATAGAAGGAGGTCCTGTGAGGAGCGAAGGGTACGGGTAGGGCAGTACTTGGGGATCAGCTTGGTGAGGTAGTCAGGGGCAGTTCATCTTTAATGGTGGTAAGTCCATCGCCAACATGTCCCTCCTTCTACTATACATCACTACAACAGTGATCAATAGTTTTCTGATGACATCATCAGTGGACCATTATTTGTTTCAGAGACACAACAGGAAAAGGGGTGGCTGGAATCAGGCCCCTCTTACATCTGCACATTTAAAGGTGTTCTGTACATTGCACATTTGTTACAATGCAAACTAAGCAGATCGGTTTCCTGGACCCACTGAAATCTACGCGTTTACTCTGCAAAGTAAGCACATGTGCAGTAGAAACAATATAGGAGGAAACTAAACATTACAGGAGGCTTCAACAGTGTGATCTCAGTAATTTAAAACTTTGAGGGGAAAGGATAGATTAGTTTTCAGGATGTGAGAAGGGTAAAACAGGGCAAGGAGCTTTGGAGGAAAAAAAAAAAAAAAAAAAAAAAACGAGCATTCTTTAGGGAAGAAGCTAGTGCAGTGCATTTCCCAGCATCACAAGCAAGTCCAAGAATCACCAGATAACTGATAGAAAAGGGATTATGGTGGATCAAAAATACTACAAGCAGGCAGTGCTTGGTTAAAAAAAAGAAAAAAAAAAAAACAAACAAAAAAAAAAAAAAAAAAAAAAAAAAACTACTTAACTGGTACGCTGTGCTGCTTTGAATGTAACTGAGGGATTCATGCGCAGTTTAGCAAAAGTGTAGCTGTAAAAATAAGCTTGCGCTAACAATAATTACCTTCATCCCCTCCTCTGTGCCACTTGTAATTAAGTCATCTATCCTCTTCTTTTGCTCTGACTGCAAAATATAATAGAGACCCGCTTAGTATTTCACATGTACATAACCACACTAATAATTATTGGAAGCTAAATGCACACCTCTAGCTCTGTTTTGCTTTTCCTACCGCTTCTTCTAACTTGATAGTAGTCTGTAACTTTTCTGTTTTGAGACTTGGTTTCTTGTACTCTACAGAAATAAAAAAAAAAAAAAAAAAAAAAAAAAAAGGATTGAGCATAAAACTAATAGTAAAGCGAGACAAAAAAAAAAAAAAAAAAAAAAAAAAAGTTTCATACACAGAATCAGATTATACTGTAAATCTACTATATTTTTATTTTCTCAACAAGCCAAGAAATTTGCCACAATATCTACAACCTTTTAAACTGACTGGTGGCTATTGCGAATACTGAAAAAAATCCTGTTATTGATACATGAAGCCTGTACTGCACAGCAAGACATTTTTTTAAACCATCACAATTGTTTCTCATTAAAGTAATTTTTTTGTCAGCAACAACAAACACGTCAACCTGACTTTCTATTCAAGAACAGTCTTTTTTGGAATTTCTCTAGTACAGTCATGAGCACATGGAAGAACAAAAACAAATACAAAGCCAAGTCCTCCTTTCAGACCATTTTTTATGTTACACTCATATTTAAAAGCGGTAGTAAACCACAGGAAAGAAATTTAAAAAAAAAAAAAAAAAAAAAAAAAAAGGTAGTCATAATGTGCTAGTATGCATTGCATACTGGCACATTATGTAAAACTTCCCTTAAAACTAAGCCCTCCAGTGGCACGCTGTCACCGCTGTACAGGCTTCCATCGCCACCCATCTTCCTTCCGGGTTCACAGACTCTGGCCGTCTGACACGCCGGACTGCGAGGACGTCACTCGCACGCATGCACGCAGAATTCCCAAGCCACGGCACACAGCTCTGAAGGAATGGCATGGGCATGAGTTTCCTTCAGAGCGCGTGCGCCAGGCTTAATAAAGAGTACGGTGCACGTTTAGGACATTCTCATTTTACCAACAGGTAAATTTTATTTTAAGCTTGCCTGTAGGTAAAATTAAACAAGAGGAGTTTACTAGCACTTTTAGGTGCAGTAGAGTCGCATACAGAATCCCCAACTATCCTCCACCCCCCTTACCTGAATTGTAGGGTGCATTTTCTGTGTTGTCTTTTTAACTTAACACAGCTATGGCCACGCAGCTGCATAATTCAAATCTGGGACTGCGGCAGAGGGACTGTGTAAAGTGCGTCCACAAGCCTTCATCCCACTCTGTAGTTCAAGCAGTTCTTCCTCCAGCAAGCCCATACCCAAATACAGACTTGAAGCTGGCAGGGAAACATTGCAAGAGCCTATGTCTTCCACCCCCTTGACTGATTACAGGTGTAATGCTCTGTAGGCTCCATTGCAAAAAAAGTGTAAAAGAACACTGATAATTAAGTCAAGTTTGCTGCATTTATGCTTTCTATAAACAGTAGTACAAAAAAGTAGACTAAGCATTTGAAGATGTTGGTGTAACCACTTCATGTTTTTCCAGCCAAAAGAGACCATATTGCTCTATTTAATGTCTAGTGACTTTAGATCAAAGTGTTGACACACAAAGATTATTTTTAAGGTTTGGTTAAAGGCCAAGTTCATATTTACATAAAAAAATAAAAAAAGCACATATTTTTGTAGGTTAAATTAAAAAAAAACAAAAACGTATTGCATTATTACTTACACTAATTACTTAAAACAGGAACCTGCAAAGTATTGCACCAACAGTCAGCAGATTGCAGGTGCAATGTCAGGCTCCTGCACACACAGGTCTGTTGCCCATACCTCCGTACAGGCTGTCATTTTCAGAGCTGCAGGCAGTGTCAGTGAACTACGGGTGTGCTAACCAATGCACATGCAGTTCAAACTACGGTTTGTCTGCCGTGGGGGTAGACAGTGCTTTTAGTTTTTTCAGTCACAGGAATCTGAAAGCATGATGCAGCTGGGTACCCCTTTTAACCACTTGCCTACAGGGCACTTATACCCCCTTCCTGCCCAAACCAATTTCCAGCTTTCAGCGCTGTCACACTTTGACAATTGCGCGGTCATGCAACACTGTACCCATATGAAATTTTTATCATTTTTTTGAGACAGATAGAGCTTTCTTTTGGTGGTATTTAATCACCTCTGGGATTTTTATTTTTTCTTGAACAAAACCAAAAACCACTGAAAATTTAGAAAAACGTTTTTCTTAGTTTTTGTTATACAATTTTGTAAATAAGCGATTTTTCTCCTTCACTGATGTGCGCTGAGGCTGCACTGATGGACACTGATGAGGAGGCACTGGTAGGTTGCACCGATGGGCATTGACAGACATCACTGATGGGCACTGAAAGGCAGCACTGATACATGACACTGATAGGCGGCACTGACTGGCACGGATAGGCACCGATTAGCATTGATAGGTAGCACTTACTGGCACTGATGGGTGACATTGAAAGGCAGCTCAGATGGGCACTGATATGTGGCATTGATGTGCACTGATATGTGGCACTGATGGACACTGACAGGTGGCACTTCTGGGGCCACACTGATCATCAGGGCACACTGATCATCAGTGCCCTGATAATCAGTGTACATGTCCCCTCCGTGGAAAGCCGATTACCGGCTCTCCTCTCCTCTCGAGCGGTCAGCGTGACAGCTCGAGAGGAGAGAAATGCCGATAACCGACATTTCCGTGTTTACATGTGATCAGCTGTGATTGGACACAGCTGATCACATGACCGAGCCGACATCTTCGGCTCTTTTCGTGATCCGTGATCCTCTGTGTCTGAGGGACACAGCGCACGGCGATCGCCGCGCGCTCCCTGAGCCGCGCATGCGCGGTGAGAATGGAAGGACATCATATGACATCCTATCAGAATGAGAGAACCACCTTGCGCCCGTCATTGTACTATATGGCACGCGGAAGGTGGTTAAAGGGGTAGCACACCAAATCTTTAGCAAATGCGTACAGTGAACCCTGTATAATAATAATAATAATAATTTGGTGTATGTTCTGCTTGCACTAGCACATAAAAAATGGAGGGCAAAAGATCAAAGTAGGACACAATATTAAGAATCCAGTTTAAAATCAAACCAAATTTTACACATTATTTGCATGAAAACATTCCATACTCACTTCCGTCTGTTGGATTTTTTCACAATTCTTTGTGGCTCTGGCTTCCGGTCAGCTGGGGAAGGCTTCTTCTGTGGCTCAGGCAAGCTTTGATTCTGGACCAGACCACTATCGGACACACTACTTTCACTGTCTTTGTGCTCTGTGGCTTTGCTTATTGGTTCTGTTATAGTAACAATTTTTGTCTTCTTTGCTAAAATTTTTCAAATAGACAGGATACATAAGTATTAAAGGAAACACTTAAAAAAAAAAACTCAACTAAATCAAAGCACAGAATTGTGGACTGCCTAAGAACTAAAAACAAAAAAAAAAAAAAAAAAAAAAAAAAATAAATCACACACACACTTTTATGTTAAAACATCCAGGAGTAGCTGTGTAAATATAGCAGCCATTGCTGTCATACTGGACCTTCCACCTCATCCCATGCCTAAAGCATCTGCTAGAAAAGGCTTGCTGAGACTTTCAGTCTCATGGCCAATGGAAATTTTTATTACAAGATTTTAAACTCATGAATACACCATATGCAGTTACCACAGTTAACACAGCCAAGACCAGCTCATTGCTATCCAAAAATTAAGCATTCATTCAGAGATATCTCACAAATTGGCACTTCCTGACATCATTGCTTACTACTTGTGAAATCTCTGAATGATCACAGAGAGCCTTGTACCATGTGACAAGCTGTGACCAATCACAGCTCTCACTTTCTCAATGGCTGCAAGAATGCAGCCAGAGAAGGAGAAAGGATTGCTTTTACAGCCTTTATGGGTATAAAAGCAATCAGTATAAAAAAAAAAAAAAAAAAAAAAAAAAAATCTTCATCATCCTCCACAAGTAGTACAGTGTCACTATGGTGACACTGTAGTACTGTTAGGGTTACAGCATGTTAAAAAAAAAACATAAGTATAAAAAATGAAATGTAAAAAAGTTTTGAAAAATTATAATTTTTCGTTGTAAACTAATTTGTTTTTTTTTTTTTTTTTTACTAAAAAGGTAGCTGACTACATAACTTTGGCCAAGATTTATGAAGAAAGATTATTTATTTGCAAAATTTAAAAAAAATTTAAAAAAAATACCAGCGGTGAACAAATACCACCAAAATAAAGTTGTATCTGTCTAAAAAAAAATGCTAAAAAAATTCATATGGGTACAGTGTTGCATGACCGCGCAATTGTCAAAGTGTGATAGCACTGAAAGCTGAAAATTGGCCTGGGCAGGAAGGGGGTGAAAGTGTCCGGACTTGAAGTGGTTAACCACTTGCCTACCAGGCACTTATACCCCCTTCCTTACCAGGCCAATTTTCAGCTTTCAGCGCTGCCGCACTTTGATTGACAATTGCGCGGTCATGCAACATTGTACCCATATGAAATTTTGATAATTTTTTTCTCACAAATAGAGCTTTCTTTTGGTGGTATTTAATTGCCACTGGGCGCTTTACTTTTTGCGCTATAAATAAAAAAATTTGAAAAAAAAATAATTCTCTCTTTGTTTCTATTATAAAATTTTTCAAACAGGTATTTTTTCTCCTTCACTGATAGGCAGCACTAATGAGGTGTCACGGATAGGCGGCACTAATATGCAGCACTGATAGGCTAATATGGCACTGATAGGTGACACTGATGATGGGTACTGATAGACGGCACTGACTGGCATCACTGCTGGGCACTGACTGGCGGCACTGACTGGCACAACCCCTGGGCACTGACTGGTGGCACTGACTGGCAGCACTGCTGGGCTGCACAGGTGGGTGGGCACATGTGGGTGGGACTTCTGGGCACAGGTAGGTGGCACTTCTGGGCACAGGTGTGTGACACTTCTGGGCACAGGTGGGTGCACTGCTGGGCACAGGTGGGCGGAACTTGCGGGTGGCACTGCTGGGCACCGATCATCAGGGCACTGATCATCAGTGTCCTGATGATCGGTGCCGATCCCCGCTGTGACAACTGCCGGTTCTCGGCAGTACTTTCCTCACAATCTGACAGCGCGAGGAAAGTGCAGCCGAGAACCGGCACTTGCATTTCCCTGTGATCAGCGTGTCATTGGACACCGCTGATCATGTGGTAAAAGGCCGCTGGGATCGGCCTTTTACCACATCACGTGATCAGCTGTGTCCGTAGGACACAGCGATCACGGAGATCGCCGGGTGCGCGCCCCCTGGGGCGCGCAGGAGAGCGCGTTCTGGGGGGACGTCATATGACGTCCACCCAGAACTGGCCGGCCGCAGTGAAGCCGTCATTCGGCTATCTGCGGTCGGCAACTAGTTAACTAATGAATACCCACCCATATATGTGCAGATTGTGGTCAAAGTTAGTCTTACCCTTCACATGGATAGGAACATCCGCTTTGAAATGGCGTGACTATCAACTATTCTTTAATCTCTTTCCCCACTACTACTAGTCTTGGGTCCATCACTTACTACTGTCATTATAGCACACACAACTTACATTAAAAAAGCAAGGGAAGAACACCACAGGAAATTTTTTTTTTTTTTTATAAATTCTTTCATGCGCGAGAATTATACAATGTCACACACAAGGTGCCCAACCCATAGATACTACTACTAAAATTTAGGTTGTGACTTCTCTAAAAAAAAACATGACACACCCTAATCATTTTGATATCTTACAAATATTGTCAAAGCGTGTTACCCCTGGCCAATAGCTGCATGTACATTTTATCGAATTCAGCTATTTGCCCTTATACACACACTGATAAATCCCAGAACATTTTGAAAGGAAGAAGAATATATACTGAGACCAATAAACTCATTAAAAACACAGTTTATTCTCTCACAGCTTGCTAAGGAAAGCATACGTAACTAGGATCATAGTCAAACAATCCAAACTACCAGTTCAAAAGGTGAAATGCAAATACCTGTTACACATTATGGTTCTTACCTTCTGCTTTTTTGTGAGGGTCCAAAAAGGCTTTACCCATATTTTTGCTCTCATGAGGCGGAGTGGAGTTTTCTTCCTGAAGAGGTGTGCGCACCCCAGATGTTTTAGGAGGGTTCATATAAGAACTGATTTTCGTTTGATTTCCATGTCCCACATCCTACAGACAACTCAATTATTAGCGAACATTTTTTATAAAAAGAAAAAAAAAAAAAAAAAAAAAAAAAAAAAAAAAAAACACACGACATGTACAAATATATACAAAGAATACTTTATATTAAAGCTTTTTTTACTTTAGTTCTTTGGTCAACCTTAAAAGGGCATCCAGCCCAAAAACACAAATGTAAATACATTGCAGCTCACCATTGCTTAAATGTACATTTTCTATTTTAGGTTGTAATATACTTTAGTAGCATTAGCTCCATACAGCAAGCTGCACGCTGTTCTGCCAGCAGTACAACCAACTTCCCGTCAGTTGCCAGAATTAACCCCCCTGGCAGTATTCCCGAATGTAGCTCGGGGTAAAGTTTCAGCACCACAAGCGGTAACCCCGAGCTACACTCGGGAATACCTTGCAGCGTTGCTCCAGGATCCCTTCTGTACTTACCTTGTCCTTCGCTCCCGCGATGTCCCCCCTGCAGAGTCCCTGGCAATGTCCTCCGGCATCGGTCTCCCGGGTTCCGTTCCCTGCGATTTTAGGGGGACATAACCGGCGGGAAATTTAAAAAATGTAAAAAAAAAATGACACACTAAATACACTAAAATCACATAGTAAAACATTACTGTATCAAAGCATTTCACATACATTTTGTCCTGTGCCCTGCCTGCATTTTTACATTTCTTTCTGCCTGGAAACTGAGAAATGTCCATGGCGTCCAAAAAGCGTCCCTTTAGGTCAAAAGTGGTTTTAGACCAGCTAGAGAACAGCGATAGTAAATTAGAACCACTTTCAGAATTGAGTGATGATTCGTGGGGAAATTCGTCAGACACTGAAAAGGATTTTGCGACTTTGCTCTGCGATGTGCGAACTTGGCGCTATATATTTCAAATTTCAGTGTTTTTGGTTTGATTATATTATTGAATTAAATTTATTATATTATTTTTTATGATTAAATAATAATTTATGATTTTGTGTTTCAAATTTTAACATACCGAGGATGTTTACTAGACTCTTGTTCGGACAGATTTCAGTGAGTTATTCCTAAAAATTACAGGCCTACAATAAACGACATATTTCCATGCAAAAAAAATGTACCGCTTTGAGCACAGAAATACTGACATAATCAGACCACTAGGGAGGTTAAACAGATTTCGGATGAGTGCTTCTCAGTTCTTGAGAAGAAGCCTTGGATTTTTAAAAGTAAGGAACACAGACTTCCTCTGATTGGCCAAGGTGGAGCTCATAACGACATCAGCCCACTTAGCTTGAATGATGGAGAAGCACTCAGTCCGACTCAGTTTAAGGGTTTGTTCGTAACAGGTGATTTCTGGTGCATTTTTAACATGCATCCAGAATGCCATGTATCCCAATGGCTCCAACTGAACATGTATCGAACACAAAATGCATATGCAAGAATGTATCCAGAAAGAAGAAATTGTGATGTGAACAACCCCCAATTCAGGCAACAGATGGGACTGCAGGAACACAGTGCCTCCTACTGTAGATCGTTAATACTACTTCACTATATTACAACACACACAGTGGCTACATTGTTCTGTACAAGTTTTTTGGGGGCCATCCATTAAGAAAAAGTTCAGCTCTCAGGAAAAAAAAAAAAAAAGTGTAAAAAAAATAAAAAAATAAATGTGCATTTATTATTTTTTCCTGCGGGAGCCTGGAAAGCTCACCGATGCCATGTCTGCCTCCTACGGGATGTATGAGCAAGCAGATATACTGACAGGAAGAGGATGAATTAACTATCACGGTACTTCATTGAGGACTACAAGCCGACTTGTAGTCTTATTCACAGATGACTGCGAACGACATGGCTGTGCATAGCCACACTTTTTTTACATTAAACAGCTAGCAAGGGGGAGAGATCCCCTGCTAGCTGTCAGAGCGGGGGCCGGACTGATCGTAACATGTAACACCCATATTCAGGATGTAACATTTAACATGTTACGAAAGGTGAACTTGTCCCTTAAAATAAAACCTAGAAATTCTTGTTTTAATGGTTTTGTCTCAACCCTCCAACTGCAACTTTTGCTGGATAGCTTAGTCTGTTAGAGGAAGTTGAAAAATAAACTTAATGGCAAGATCACCAGGTGATTGAATATATGGCTGCAACTTTTTTTTATTTTGCTTTTGTGTTTGAAATATCTATTCTATTTTGCTTCCCCTAAATTAAGCTCTTTTATGGAATTGGATAGGCTTTTAGGCATGATGCACATGGACCAAAAATAAATAAATAAATGCAGCTTTCAGGATTGTTTTTACATTTTGTTTTTCACACCTCTGAACTCATCTGCACATTAGCCAATCTGCCCATGCATATGCAGGCAGTACAGTATATTGGCCAGAGGCAGGTGCGGACTGACCATTTGGAAACTCGGGCACTGCCCGAGGGCCTGGGGTCAGTAGGGGGCCCAATGAGATGCCCTGGTACCCTTTTCATAGGGTTTTTTGAGTTTGGGCAAGGACACAGGGGCCCCATGATCCCCTATTGCCTGGGGGCCCCATGAGTTGTCAGTCTGCCCCGGGCCAGAGGAGCACTTTTGTGTTTCTTTTTTGCCAACTTGAGACAGAAAAAAAATGCCTCTATACTTCATATGTCTGTGTACATGAAGCCTGAGCCCTGGTTCACACTGCATACAACTTTTGAAATCGTACAACTTCACACATCTCAGTGCAACTTCAGGTGTGACTTGTAAGACATCTGTGCAACTTCATGCACAGATGTCAATGCAAGTTGCACCAGAAATCTGCAAAAGTAGTGCAGGAACTACTTTTCAAATTGGCATAACTCCGACTTTAGAACAGTTCCATTGCTAATTAAAATGTTATTTAGTCCTGGTTCACACCGATGCAACTTGTCATGCGATTTGACATTGTCGCACCACGGCTAAAGTGCATTTTAATTAGAAGTAATTGACTGCATAGTCTCCATTATATTAAATCAGCCCCTTTTACACAGGCGGCCCGTCTACTGACCCATGAGTACAAGGATCAAAACAAAAAAAAAAAAGGAAGAAGGACATACAGTTGCAAGAAAAAGTATGTGAACCCCTTGGGATTACGTGGAGTTTTGCATGAATTGGGCATAAAATGTGCTCTGAATGTCATCTAAGTCACAACAATAGAAGAACACAGTCTGCTGAACATAATACTACACAAATATTAGATGTTGCCATGGTTTAATTGCACATAACATGTAAACATTCACAGTGCAGGGAGGAAAAAGTATGTGAAGCCCTAGCTTAATGACTTCTCCCAGAGCTAATTGGAGCCAGGAGTGAGCCAACTTTGACTCCAATCAGTGTGATGATATTGGATGTGTTGCTGACAGCTGTCCTGCCCTTAAAAAACACACACCTGTTTTGGGTTTACTGGTTTTAAGAAGCACTGTCTGATGTGAACCATGCCTCGCAGAAAAGAGCTCTCAGAAGACCTACAATCAAGAATTGTTGACTTGCATGAAGCTGGAAAGGGTTACAAAAGTATCTCCAAAAGCCTTGATGTTCATGTGTCCACGGTAAGACAGACTGTCTACAAATGGAGAAAGTTTAGCACTGTTGCTACTCTCCCTAGGCGTGGTCGTCCTGTAAAAATGACTGCAAGAGCACAGCGCAGAATGCTGCATGAGGTAAAGAAGAATCCCAGAGTGTCAGCTAAAGACCTACAGAAATCTCTGGCACATGCTAACATTTTTGTTGACACATCTACAATAAGGAAAACACTAAACAAGAATGGAGTACATGGGAGGACACCACGGAGGAAGCCATTGCTGTCCAAAAAGAATATTGCAGCACGTTTGAAGTTTGCAAAAGAACACCTGGATGTTCCACAGCACTACTGGCAAAATATACTGTGGACAGATGAAACCAAGATTGAGTTGTTTGGGAAGAACACACAACACTATGTGTGGAGAAAAAAAGGCACAGCACACCAACATCAAAACCTCATCTCCACTGTGAAACATGGCGGAGGGAGCATCATGGTTTGGGGCTGCTTTGCTGCCTCAGGGCCTGGACGGATTGTTGTCATTGATGGGAAAATGAATTCCAGAGTTTATCAAGACATTTTGCAGGAAAATGTACGACCATCTGTCCACCAACTGAAGCTCCGCAGAGGATGGGTGATGCAACAGGACAATGACCCAAAGCATACAAGTCATTCAACAAAACAATGGCTGCAACAGCACAGAATACACCTTCTGGAGTGGCCCAGTCAGAGTCCTGACCTCAACCCCATTGAAATGCTGTGGCATGACCTTAAGAGAGAGATTCACACTAGACATCCCAAGAATATTGCTACACTGAAACAGTTTTGTGAAGAGGAGTGGTCCAAAATTACTCCAGATCATTGTGCAGGTCTGATCTGCAACTACAGGAAATGTTTGGTTGAGGTTATTGCTGCCAAAGGAGGGTCAACCAGTTATTAAGTCCAAAGGTTCACATACTTTTTCCTCCCTGCACTGTGAATGTTTACATGTTATGTGCAATTAAACCATGGCAACATCTAATGTTTGTATATTATTATGTTCAGCAGACTGTGTTCTTCTATTGTTGTGACTTAGATGACGTTCAGAGCACATTTTATGCCCAATTCATGCAAAACTCCACATAATCCCAAGGGGGTTCACATACTTTTTCTTGCAACTGTACATCCCTATGGGTGGGTGGATGCAAGCACTTGCCTAAATCTGCCCACCTCCTGGTCTGTACCGATTAGTTGGGACTGAACGGAAAATTTTTAAAAAGGGCCAATTCACACTGACTTGCGCTAAAACATATGGAAAATGCATGTACATTTTCATCCATTTTAGCCATGTTTTAATGCACGCCGACATCTGTTGACATACATTTTGATGTCCGCTGACGTGCATGCATGCGCAGCGTTATGGTGTAAATAGGTCACATTGGAAATGATTGTTTTTCAGATTGTCTTGTTTACAGCTGCACTAATACGCAGATCAAAACACTGGTGTTAATTGGCCCTTACTGAGCGGACAGGAGGTGGGCAGACCAAGGTGGGCGCCTACATCTGCCCATCCATATCCATAAAATGGAGCTGTTTTTCTGGAGTAAGGAAAAAAAAAAAAAAAAAAAAAGTTGAAATAGGCATGTATTGCTTTGGTGGGACTCAGCAGAGGATTAGTTTCGGATCTTCTATGGAGACTGAACAGACACCGCCCGTGTGTAAAGGGGCCTCAGAAAGCAGCCGTTGTATCAGCACTGAACGCAGTGGGTGGAGCGGGCAGACTTGGTACTCTGCACAAGCAGCACCCATACATGAAGATGCATTCGGATCCTCACTAGACTTCCTGCATTTTTCATCTATTTAAACCCCTTATGTACATGTAAACATTGCTTAGGAGAAAGTCAGCCCCAATGTGTTTCCAATCTCATCATTGCAGACACTTCTATTAGATCCCTGCAGCTGCTTCCTGTTCTCTCACTAATCATACAGAAGTCTAGGCAGCCAGCACCTGATCGAGGTCGGCTCTAATCTATATGATCCCAGAAAGCCTGATGCAGACAACAGAGCAAAGCCGTTTCCTAGAAATCAGGAGTCATCGCAGGGGGCTCCTATGGAGTCCTGACCGGAACTGGCTCGGATACACAGAAAAAGCCGCAAAATCAGCAAAACATTTACAAATCACACCGACCCCGTTCATTTTCGGGTTGTTCTCATTGGTTCCCCCGGATCGACAGGTTTCCGGTGCCTCCCCGCTTCTTCCGTCGCTGGGTTTGGACATTTTCTTTCCTAGGAGACAGACAGGGAGGGTTGGTTATACTGGATTTAGTGGGCATGCTCAGCGTAAGAACACACAGCTGGGCGCCGCCATCTTTAAAGGGACAGAGAGGGGGAGAATGGCGGAGCTGGTACGTGTAAGGTCCGCCCACCGAGACACGTCCCCCGTCACTCACAATGTACTCCGCCCAACAACAGTCCTGTATTCCCATGTGTACAGTGCGGATTTCAGATCTCATATGATCGTGTATTGCACACATGGCAATACACGTCTAGGGTGCTCCAGCGTGGGCGCGCACATGGCAATACACGTCTAGGGTGCTCCGCGTGGGCGCGCACATGGCAATACACGTCTAGGGTGCTCGCGTGGGGCGCGCACATGGCAATACACGTCTAGGGTGCTCCGCGTGGGCGCGCACATGGCAATACACGTCTAGGGTGCTCCGCGTGGGCGCGCACATGGCAATACACGTCTAGGGTGCTCCGCGTGGGCGCGCACATGGCAATACACGTCTAGGGTGCTCAGCGTGGGCGCGCACATGGCAATACACGTCTAGGGTGCTCAGCGTCGTGGGCGCGCACATGGCAATACACGTCTAGGGTGCTCTCAGCGTGGGCGCGCACATGGCAATACACGTCTAGGGTGCTCAGCGTGGGCGCGCACATGGCAATACACGTCTAGGGTGCTCAGCGTGGGCGCGCACATGGCAATACACGTCTAGGGTGCTCAGCGTGGGCTCGCACATGGCAATACACGTCTAGGGTGCTCAGCGTGGGCGCGCACATGGCAATACACGTCTAGGGTGCTCAGCGTGGGCGCGCACATGGCAATACACGTCTAGGGTGCTCAGCGTGGGCGCGCACATGGCAATACACGTCTAGGGTGCTCAGCGTGGGCGCGCACATGGCAATACACGTCTAGGGTGCTCAGCGTGGGCGCGCACATGGCAATACACGTCTAGGGTGCTCAGCGTGGGCGCGCACATGGCAATACACGTCTAGGGGGTGCTCAGCGTGGGCGCGCACATGGCAATACACGTCTAGGGTGCTCAGCGTGGGCGCGCACATGGCAATACACGTCTAGGGTGCTCAGCGTGGGCGCGCACATGGCAATACACGTCTAGGGTGCTCAGCGTGTGGGCGCGCACATGGCAATACACGTCTAGGGTGCTCAGCGTGGGCGCGCACATGGCAATACACGTCTAGGGTGCTCACGTGGGCGCGCACATGGCAATACACGTCTAGGGTGCTCAGCGTGGGCGCGCACATGGCAATACACGTCTAGCGTGCTCCGTGTGCGCGCACATGGGAATACAGATCTAGTGTGTACACATTGATTTCAGGTAATTATCTAGCGCGATCAGTTTACACATATACATATATATATATATATTGTGCATTCACATCAGTCCCTAACCCTCAAGGGGTGTACAATCTAAAGTCCCTAACTCACATTCATACATACACATACTAGGGCCAATTTAGACAGGATTCAATTAACCTACCAGCATGTCTTTGGAGTGTGGGAGATAACCGTAGTACCCGGAGGAAACCCACGCAGGCACAGGGAGAACATGCAAACTCCAGGCAGGTGGTGCCATGGCTGGGATTTGAACCAATGATCCTAGTACTGCCAGGAGGAAGTGTTAACCATTTTAGCGACTGTGCTGCCCACATAGGAATACAGATCTCTTATGTGCTCTGTGTCTATACAGATCTCATATGCGCTGCAAATGTATACATATGAATAAAGAATTTGATCTCATATGTTGTGTATACATATTAATTCAGATCTCATGTACCCACACACGCACACACCAATTAAATACAGGAGGAATCAGAGGGCCCTGCTCATTAGAGCTTACAATCTAAAAGGGGGAGGGTCAAGTGATACAAAAGGTAATAACTGGGGGGGGATGAGCAAATGGAGAAAATACATGTACAGTTGTTAGGTGGAGGCAGGATAGGTTTCTCTGAAGAGAAAAGTTTTCAGGGAGCGCCTAAAAGTGGACAGAGTAGGAGATAATTGGACAGATTGGGGTAGGGATTTCCATAGGTTGGGAGAGGCTTGGGAGAAGTCCTGCAGGTGGGCATGGGAGGAGGAAGTGACAAGGGAACTAGAGAGCAGGAGATCTTGGGAGGAACGAAGAGTGTGATTTGGTTGTCATTTTGAAAATGCCGCTGTTACAGGCACTTGCCTGTTTTTCTTCTGCCTCTAAATGCCCCTCTATGTTAAAAGGAGAACTACAACTAAAGCTCTTTTGACTGTACTTCTCCTGTGACCCGTTTTCAGCTTCAGCCCACTGTCGGCTGACATCACTCAGCCGGTCCAGGCTGGGGAAAGATCCTGCTTTAAAGTCGGGATCCACCCCAGAGTCTGGAGCGGTACCTGGCTCAGCCTGTCAGTGATGTGCTGAGAACCTGAGCCAGCCGCTCCACAGCCAAGAGCTCCAGTGAGCACTGGAGGGAGGGGCTGGCTAAGGGGAGGTGCAGACAGCGGTGACCACTGCACAGAGAGGCTGTGAGAACTCAGCAATCAGTGGTCACGTGATCACTAAATTTCACTCTTAGAGCCAGTGGGGGACAGATGCATCATTGGACGGATGCGGCATCCACCTAGGCAGGATTTTAAAATAAATAAATACATACCATACTTTTTTTTTTAACCTATGTATCCATGCATACATAGAGTTTAGAGGCAGAAAAAAAACATCACTTGCACATTTAGGAATGGAGCATTTAGGCAGAAAAAAAGCTGAATGTGCCTAAATGCTAGGTATATTTCTGGCCAATGAAATGAATGACTGCCCAAATGCTTGATGCACCTAAGCGCATTTGCAAAAATGCAGCTATAGGTACGTTTTTATGCTGCTTATTCCTCCCCCTGTAACAAAAGAGTCCAGGAGAGAAGAAAAAAAAAAAAACATCCTGGCCTAACACAGATCATATGTTTTGTATGTACACATTATTTACTCATCTCATTCTGTGTATGTCTATGTACAGTCTCTCACAGGAGTGAGTACACCCCTCACATTTTTGTAAATATTTTATCTTTTCATGTGACAACACTGAAGAAATGACACTTTGCTACAATGTGACGTAGTGAGTGTACAGCTTGTATAACAGTGTAAATTTGCTGTCCCCTCAAAATAACTCAACACAGCCATTAATGTCTAAACCGCTGGCATGATTGTGTGACCAGTGGATACAGCAGATCACAGTGCACAGTACCTACCTGCTGTGAGCAGTCGGGGTATCATGTGACCACTATGACCATAGCGATCACCTGTAAGCAAAGCTGTCACGAATGGCTTCTAGTCATGACAGCTTACTATTATGATGCTGTGATTGGTCACCAACAATCACATGGTACCTGGGCCAATCACAGCACCACAATAGATCATGAATGAAAGCCATTTATGACAAATCAAACAATTGCTGTTACAGTGATAAAATCACTGCAACAAGCAATCTCAGTATTAAAAAAAAAAAAAAAATCCTGATCACCTCCCCAGAGTAATACAGTGTCACTATGACTGTTCAGTGACACTTAACTACTCTGAAGACAAAAAAAAAATAAAAATAAAATTCTCACCACCCCCATCCATACTGTCACCAGTGTCCCTGATCACTGCCACACTAGTCAAATGATGACGCTGTACTGCACTGGTGGCATTATATTAAAAGAAAAGAAAAAAAAAAAAAAAGTAATAGTGGGGGAAAAATAAACCCCCACAATTATTGCATTTTTTTTATTTTTCCACAAAAATGTTAAGAAAAAAAAATATATATCACAACTTCAAAAAACTTGCCATAGCTCTTAATACCTTGGACTGGACTTCTACTTTCCAAAACTGGGTAATTGCAGGGATATTTGTACTTTCCTGACAGTTTAGGGCCTCAAATCAGTTCATCAGGACTGATCAATTTTCAAAAAAAAAAAAAAAAAAAAAAAAAAAAAAAAAAAAAAAAAATAATATATATATATATATATATATATATATATATATATATATATATATATATATATATATATATATATATATATATATATATATATATATATATATATATATATATATATATACATACATATATACACATACATATATACACATACATATATACACATACATATATACATACACACATACCACAGTTTTGTAGTCTCTATACCTTTCACACAAGCTAAATAAAATACACGGATTTGGGTTATTTTTACCAAATATATGTAGCAGACTACAAAATGGCTACATTTTAGAACATTGGTGATTAAATACCACAAAAAAAAAAAAAAAGCTTGTTGTGAAAAAAAAAAAAATTATATACATTTCATTTGGGGGTATAGTGTTGCATGACCGAGCAATTGTCAGTTAAATAATGCAGTGTTCAATAGCAAAAAATGCTCTGGTCATGAAGAGGGTAAAACCTTTTGGAGGTCAAGTGGTTAGAGTATACTTTTTTAACAACTTTCCCAACAAACTCCCTACAGCATAGTTTCTGAATTCTTGAAACCATGGACCTCCATAATGTTTGCATGGCTTTTTTTTCCCATGGTTTGCATGTATTTAGTAGAAACGCAGACCTTCTATGGCACTTTCCACAGAACCAGGAGACAGTCCCAAAGAAGACTATGGGTTTCTACTTCAAATTGAAGAGTGTGGCTGACATTAAAATGCATATCTCAGCTGGCCATAGATGGATCGAACATTGGGCGGTTCAGTAGGGACCGTCCAAGATTGGATCCATCTATGGACAGGTTGATTGGATTGACTTGGGTACAACCTGCCTGTCAGAATTTTAGCATGTGATTACTGTCCATGCCTATAGTCACTAGCAGAAATCTTTGTGTTCCCCTCATTTAGGAAGGCCTCCACTTCTGGGTGGCAGAACACAATAGCTCTGCAGGAGGCATTCCCCCCATCAACACGGACTGTGTTGATGATGGGGAGAATTCATCAATGTTCTTTCCTTCCGCTTTTGCATTACCATTTCATGTCATCT